ATACTCGAAAACTCCAACTCAGGGTTCTGCTTGGTTGGAGGCACGACGGGTGGTCGTATTTTTTTTTTTCCTGCCTTGCACGTCCTTTCTGATCTCCTCTCCCCGCCGAGGAGGTGAGTTAAAGCACCCAGCTGCAAGCTCAGTTGTAGATCTTCAGCCTCTCTCCGGAGAGGCAGCACTCAAGCCATTCATCTCGAGTGACTTGTTTCTTTTCTTTTTTTGGCACCGGGGATCGAACTCGGGTCCTTGCACTTGCAAGGCAGGCTAAATCCACGGCCCGACTTGTTTCTTTCTTGAGACTGCTGAGAAAGATTTAATTTCCTCTTTCTAAACTCGCGCAGTGACGAGGTTGGAAATTCCAGGTTTGGGGTAAAAGTACGGCCTTGCTTACGTCCAAGGCTACTGGACAGTCATAGGGAGTGGGCGGTCTGATCGAACTCGGGTCCTTGCACTTGCAAGGCAGGCTAAATCCACGGCCCGACTTGTTTCTTTCTTGAGACTGCTGAGAAAGATTTAATTTCCTCTTTCTAAACTCGCGCAGTGACGAGGTTGGAAATTCCAGGTTTGGGGTAAAAGTACGGCCTTGCTTACGTCCAAGGCTACTGGACAGTCATAGGGAGTGGGCGGTCTGTGTCTCTCTCTCTCTCTCTCTCTCTCTCTCACACACACACACACACACACACACACACACACACACCACAATGCAAAACAACTCTGAAGACCACACCAAGTTTGTATAAAAAAAGTATTCTTGTATCACCAATACACAAACTCCAACCATTATACAAAGAAAGTTTTTTTTAAAGTGCACAGGCGCACACACAACTACAGAGAACTTTCCCAAAAGATCATCCTGCAAGTATTCAAAACATGATAGATGCATTCAGAGGGCAGAGAAATTAATCAGTCATCCATTCAAGGTCCCTTTATAAAGTAACACTGGTACAACTGTTGTTTTTCCCTTTTTGAATTTCCTGTTTTATTACCCCACCCTTGTTTGTGTGTGTGGTGTGTTTCTGAGATACCAGCTCTTGGGGTGAGGGAGGGAGAGAGGAGAACCTCACACCTGTCATCCACTGGAGAGCCTAGCAGCCCAGTAACATTTCTCAGTGTTCCTGTATGTTTTCTGTGAAATTCAAGAAGATCTTGGTGATTGCCTGGCTCAATCCCTTTATTTCAAAAACGAAGAAGCTAAGGCTCAGACAAACTAAGCCCCTGACACCCAGGGTCCCATAGCAAAATGTCAGCAGTGCCTGTACTGTTTGCTACCCGGCATTCTAGAACCTGACTTCTTCCTCCAGATTCACAGCAACTGTATTTCCATGTAGGCCATGTGGAACCAGCATATATAACACTTTTAAAATTGCCAGATGGGATCTCTTACGGCATCTTAAAATATGGCGCTGAGGTTTTACCCCTCTCCTTTAATCATCTGCCTGACGCTAGTGATTAATGCATGTGTGTTTTTCCCACATAAACCGGGCCAGCCATGTGGCTGTGCATGCACAGGAGAGGAGTCACCATAAGATCTGAGAGGTGTCCTGTTTCTTATGCGCCCGCCTCCTCTCCAGCCTGCTTTATCCCTCATTCCTGGAGCCTTGTGGGCAAAATTTGCTAAACACTGCCTGAGTGTTTTCGTTTTCCCACTTTCCATCCTGGTTCAGTTTAATTATTTCTCAAAGCACCTCTGAAACCCAACAGGGCCTTACTTCCTGGGAAATCGGATGTGCACACATCAGACATGAACTGACATCAAGGGAGTGAAAGGGACAGGGCTCCTACAAGGTGTGAAATCTGAACTTGGAAATAGTGCTGCAACACTGTTTTCTTTTCTTTCTTTCTTTCTTTTTCTCTTTTTTTTTTGTTTTTTGAGACAGGGTCTCACTATGTAGTGAGACTGACCTGGAACTCATTATGTAGCTCAGGCTGGTCTCAAACTCACAGCGATCCCCCTGCCTCAGCCTCCCGAGTGCTGAGATTACAGGCGTGAGCCACCATGCCTGGCCAACACTGTTTTCCATAGTGGGAATTTGCATAGGTGAGGCCACCTGAAGAACTGGGCACTCTACAGTTCCCTACTCCTTTCCTCACAGGACACTTGGCAAACCACAAGGCCCCAGGTTAGGGCTCCAGGAGAGAATCCTGTGGGGGTTTCTCAGTTCAGGGCGTCATCTCATGATATAACCATCCCTGACGTCATCGTCCGCACCAGAACTGGTGGTGTCACTTTTATCAGAGAGATCACCTCCAGTCCACAGGCACCCAGGAGGGAGGCTGGGGAACAGTACCTGTAGCTTTTTCCCATGGGGCACCAGAAGGCTCGATTCTGTCTCCTGGGGATCCTCTTCTTGGGGAGGTAACACTAGGGCGGCTTCTTCAGAGTCTTCTGCATCATCGTGGAGAGCTCTCAAAAACACGGAGTTCAAATCCACATTGAAGGTAATTTTGTCCCCAGATCCCCCAGTGGAGTTGCTGTCGTCGTCCTTGGGAGAGCGGTTGTGGGGCAGACCTTCTGCCCTCTCACGTGGGCCTTCCCTCTGCCCTGGACTGGGCCCTTGTGCTGCAAGGGGCTGAAATAGGGGCTCAGTCTCCTTGTCGGGCTCCTCGGACTCCTCATCGGCTGGGTCTTCCGGATGGGAGGCCTGGGAGGAGGCTGAGGAGGGGCGGAATTGGCTCAGAAGCCGGCCTGTCAGGCCATGCATGGTGTAACCCCTGGCATTTGTTCTGAGAGGGGCTTCATCTTCGGTGTCGCTTTCATCGTCATAATTATAATCCCATACTTTCTTCTTTCGGTGGACGGAAATGACCTCCAGCATATTTACTTCTTCTGACAGTGGTCGTTCAGGAAATATCTGGACTACAAAGTTACGAAAAATCTGAATAGGGGAGGGGAGAAAGAGAGACGGTATAACTCGTGTTTGCTCTTTACTTTTTACATAATAAAACAGTGTTCACTGCACAGTGATGTGGATGGTGGTGATAATGATAACACAAATAATAATCTGAGAGCTGGCAGTTACACAGTGCTGAGTAGTCAGTCATCAGGCACTGCTCTCAGTACCTCCCACATACAGCTGGTCTGCAAATCCACAGATGCCGAATCCTTTATAGATAATATCATTAGATGGGCCTAGCATCTATGAATTTTCAGCCCAGTATAGCCCATGCTTTCCAATTTGACACAGCTTCTCTTCCCTTACTCTACCAAGACCCAGACTTGGGGTCAGTTTTTCTACTGGGATATTTATCTTTTTTCTTACCAGTCACAGGAGTTCTTTATATAACTATGTATCTAACTTATACACTATTTATGTGTTAATTATTTACATACATGTATTTCCCCCAGTCTGTGATTTATCACATTTTTCTCTTTATGATGATATTTGATGAAAAGAAATTCTGAATGTTTAATGTAAGAATGGCCAACTTATTCCTCTATGATTTTTGCTTTTAGTGTCTGAGAGTGCCTTCTTTTACCCCAAAGCTAAAAAGAATCAGTTGCACAGATTCTCCTTGACTTATGGTGGGGCTATATCCCAATAAATGCATAATAAGTTGAAAATACTGCAAATTTAAAACTCAATATACCTAACCTAAGAACATTATAGCTTACTCTAAAGTACTTTACACATGCTTAGCACACTTACATCACCCTATATTTGAGCAAAATCATGTAACGCACAGCCTGCATCATAATAATGCATTGAATATCTCATATGATTCAAATTTTAAAGCAGAGTTTCCACTAAATGTATATTGTTTTGCACCCCTATAGAGTTAAAAAAAAAAGTGTAGGTGGAACCATTGTTGAGGACCATCTGTATTGCCTTCTACAGTCTTAAAGTTCTGCCTTTCACATTATAATCTTTAATTTATCTGAAAATGGCTTTCATGTGTGGTGTGGGATAGGGCTCCGATGCCATTTCCCCTTTATATATAACATTTATTGATAGCTCATCCTTTCCCCACTAATTTGCAAGACTCACTGTCATGGGCCATGTTTTCGTAACGTGAGTCTGTATCTAGGCTTCCTATTTGACAAGGTTTTTATTAAGACTGTTCAACAAGATTCATTAATTTCCCCCACATTGAGCTTGTACATTATCTGTTAGACTTCTTTCTTAAATGTTTTAAAAATATTTCTGTTGCTATTCTAATTGTATTTTTTTAAAACTACTGTAAATAGTATTCAGTTTATATAAAATTCAAAACCAGGCAAAACTAATCTCTGCTGATTGTAATCAGGAGAGTAGTTACCCCGGGAGGGGTTCATGCTTGAAAGGTTTCAGACAGACTTTGGAGGAGCTAGCCATGCTCTCTTCAGCGAGACATGAGTTAATGGGTGTGTGCAGGTTGTAGAGACTGACTGGGCTTTATTACTTTATTTCTTGGAAGTTGAGAAGCAGTTTCATGCTTATTTTCTAATTGAAGGCTGCTGCTTTTTTTTTAATGGAATGACCTTGCTAATCTTATTAATCCCCAAAATATATCTCTAGAGACATGTGAATTCTTTAGACAACTGTATCAATAAATAATCATTGTCTCTGCCCCACCTCAAACTTTAAGCTCCACGAGGGCAGGACTTTTTGATTGTTTTGTTTACTTCTGTATCCCTAACACCTACATCATGTTGACACACACTAGATGCTCAATAAATATTTGTTCATTTAAAAAGAGAAAATACATCATTAAACAATTTTAACATCTATTCTTGTTTAAACACACATACACAAACACACTAGGCCTACACTGTCCTATTTTCCTCTTCCCAAAGTTTTTAATTAAATGCAGGGAAACAATTTTTGTTTTTGTTTTTGTTTTTTTTGGTACTGGGGATTGTACTCGGGTCCTTGCGCTTGCAAGGCAGGCCACCAAATCGCTGAGCTAAATCCCCGGCCCAGGGAAACAATTTTTGAAGGAGAAATACTAAACAGACACAAGATGACAACATGTTAAAACAAGCACAACAGTGGAGGGATATTTATATGGTTGTTGGAACATTAGAATAAGGTGAATGAATCCAGATGTAAAAAATAAATTATTTCTGAATAGATTATTACAAGTAATACAAAAGAAAAGCAAAGGGATAACTGATGGTAAAGCAATTGAGTCAAAAGACAAGAGTTTTAGAAAGATGTAAGACTAATATCCAGACTCTTGAACAAGCTCGAACCAGCAACACAAGAAATGAAAACAAGGAAATGACTGTTATCGCTAATAATGAAAGTAACACAAGCGAGAGCAACTATAGAGAATTGTTACATACATGACAATGAACAAAAGTACTGTAGTAAAATGATTCACCAATGTCAGTGAGACTTTGGAGCGCTACATACTTCATCACTGGCATTATAATTCACTTACAATATTCTTCTATAAGATAAATCCATGTTATATGTATATTATAGTGAAGTGATCCAAAATAAAAAGGTAATTTATATAAAAATTTCCATTGCACTATTCATAATGGCAAAGGGAGGGGAAGAAATGAAAAAGAAATCAACCTGAATGTCTTAGTTGGGGAATGGTGAAATCATACATTAATAATAATGATATTCTATGTAACCTTTAGAAATAATAGGCGGACAAGAATAAAGAGAAAACCCAGAATACTCAGATACTTTTATAACTGAAAAATATGTTTTCAGGGATGGAAAGGAAGGCAGCTGGAAAAAATCCTGGTGTTTTTGGAGGTTTTCTTCTGTGAAAATATTTACATATATAATAAAAAATTTAAAGTTAAATTAAAAAAAAATAAAGACAGAAAGTTTAAAAAAACTACATACCAAGGCTTTGGGAAACTCAGTGTGTAAGCATACATATCCAATCTGTTTCAGTATTAAGATGATGCTTATGGCCACTGATATAAAAATCACAATAAAAACTATTATTTTGATAGATTTTGATGACCCTGTTGATGAGAAAAATAAATGAACTTATGTCAAAAGAAATTCAATAAGTGATCATAGATAGGAATAAATGCATATTGCTCTGGTGTTACGAGGTGCTATTGAGGAAAAACAGTTTTAGGGATCATGTCACTCAGGATAAATTGAATCTTTGTGTTACTGGGCCATGTTCACTCATATTTGCTCAGAATAAAGTGTTCTCTTATTTCCTTAGAGCAAAGCTGTTATGTCATTGATTTTGGTGCCCAACATGGGGCCCCAGAGATGTACCACTTTTGTAGGAGGAGTCACCCCAATAGACACCACCAGCACCAGCCTTCTGTGCCCACTGAGTGGACTGCTGCCTCAGGTGGACACTGGGAAGTCCTTCCTGGGGCCCAGAACCTCCCTTGGGATTGGTTAACGACCCTAGGCTCATTTTAAGCTAGTTTACTCTGACATTCTCTGTTCTTGTGGAACTTCTGTTCAGGACATTTGTTTGTTGGCATTTAGTCTTTTTCCCTCCACTCTTCCATCATCTAAATTTGCCTGTTTCTTTCTCCTGATCATTGCAATCTTACTCCTTTTAACGTAAGTTCTATAAGCACCTGCTCAAAAGACCCCAAAGGTAGGAGGTACTTTTCTCCCCAACCCAACAGACAGGGTCGGGGGAACTTTCTAGGATGTGTCATGGCCTCATAGAGAGGCACCAAATAACATGCTTCCTGGTTCTTGGGCCAGAAGGACCTTTATTGGCTCATCTTGGAAGATGCACATAAGGTGTTATCACCCAGTGTCATGAGCCTCCTCAGGTATGTTCTATAAATGTGCAGGATGACCAGGATATGGTGAGGGGACCTGGTCTTAGGGTCATAAGTCTTGGAAATCACCTCCATATGCAACACATAAACTGATCAAAAAATAGGTCCTATAGGTTAGCACAGGAAGTTGCAATTTTGGGGAGAAGAGGTATCTCCATTAAAATAAATAAGAACAACCAAACCAAAGACAGTTTTATGTTGCTAAAGACTAAATAATGGAGAGTAATGCAGGTGTGTATTTTTTTAAACAATAAATTATAGAAGTACCACAGTTCATGAACTTAATTCTTTCTACAATTCTGGTCACAAACTGAATTGGATGAGAAGCAAATCAAATTCAGTGGTCAGGTTCAGTGTTGTCCTTGGGGGAAATTTGGTTTGGTTCTCATCCAGTTTGCTTTGTGACCAGATATGGTGGTAAGAATTCAGTTCATGAATCAAGGCAGCACTGCCTATTTAGCCTTGCAAGATAAAAATTTTTGTGTTTATAATGCAATACAGTAGCCACTGGCAATGGCTGTTTAAAATGAAAATGATCATAATGAAACAATTAGAGAAGCCAGTTTCTCCATCCCAGTTGCTGTATCTCAAATGTCCATGTGAGGCTCATATTAGCATGTGCTACAGGAAGGACGGTGTGGAGAAGGGACAGCCTCCCTAAAAACCAACAAGGCCATTTGAAGGCTGGCCTTAGCCAACCAGGAACCAAAATTTGGCCTCAGCTTTCCAAGTCATTCACCTCTAGGGTCCTCCATCCTCTCTGACCTAGACTGTTGCTGTTCTTCCTTTGCTCAGTTCACAGCTGTCCTGCCAGGTCTACTCCTACCCTAGGGAGGGTCTTTGCCCTTGCAGGATCCTCCCTCTGGAACTCTCTCCTGATATATCAGTGAGACTCACTCTCTCCTGTATTCCTTTCCCACTATCTTGGAATCAAATAACCACAAAGTCAATGGCACAAATCTATTAGTTTTCAATTCTGGATGTCTGAAGTCCAAAATGGTTTGCACTAAGATAAAATCACAGCGTTGGAAGACTGCATTCCTTCCGGAAGCTACAAGGGAAAGTCCATTTCCCCACTTTTTCTACCTGTAGGGGCCTCTTTCCTTCCTGGGCTTACGGCCCTTCCTTTTTTCATCCTTGAAGCCAGTTTTAAAGCTTCTCCCAGTCCCCTAGCTTTTGACCTGTGTTTCTGTTGTCACTGCTCCTTCTCTGACTCTGAGTCCTCGGTCTCCTCTTTCCTTCATAAGGACCCAAGTACGTAGCTGGGGCCCACCTGGGTGACTCAGGATCATCTTCCCTATCCCAAGATCCTTTTTTGAATCACAACCACCAAGTCCCTCGGTTGCATTCATATATCCAGGATGGGTGAACATAATTCCACCTACCACACCTCTCTCAGGTCTTCACTTGAATGCCGCCTCTCTGGAAAGCCTTCTGTGGCCATCAGTGGTCCTGCCCACGTCCCCTTGACCGGTCATCGAGTGACTCCTGTGCTAGTGTGCACATCCGTGATACATCTGAGCTGCCCCTTCTCTGAGGATGGGCTGCCCACTAGGGCAGAGCTGACCACCAAGGGGCTATGCATGCAGCAAGGACTGACCAAGCGTCCAATTCATGCCCTAGAGCATCTCCTGTCAGGCTCCACTGAGACCACACGTTTGCTTCATTTCTCTCTTCCTGCCCCGCTTTGCTCTTTTATTCCACAATGATGAATGCCACTTGAACAAGAATTCCTATCCTAGGTTCTGCTTCCAGGGCATGTGAATTAAGACTGGGCCCTATTTAAAACCGGAGACCCCTCCTTTCCACCCAACCCTTCTTCATTTTCCTTCCTGCTTCATTTTTCTCCCAAGTACATATGGTCACTTCATACACTATATATATTATAATTTTTAAATCTTATTATTATTCTGTCTCCTATTGCAATGTAAATGCCACAAAGTGAGGTATTTTTATTCATTTCCTTTACTGCTGTATTTCCGGGATCCAGAAGGGAATCTGGCTTGCAATACAGCTCTCTGGTAATTATTAGATGAATGAATAGATCTTTTCTCTGGGGCCTTACTGAAGAGACAGTCAATTAGTTGTAGGGCTTCAAGGGGAAGGCATTTTGCCAGATCTTTTAAGATAAGATCCCTGTCACCCCTTATCAGTCTGCCCTGAGACTGCACTGTCTACTGCTGAGTCTAAGTTAATGCTGGCCTCTGGCTGATGTCCCTGATGTCCCCTCAGCAGCAGATCCTGTCTGGATCTAGAGTTTGATTAGTTAGGGGCAGTTCAGAAGGCAAGGAGGCAGTCAGAGATGCCATGACATCTGAACTGTTTGGCTCTGGGTTTCAGACAGGAAGAACCCAGATAGTGAGGGATACGTGCACCTAAACTATCTTGGGAAATGACAAAAGAATGGAGCTGACTTACTGTGCAAAATCACCTTCAAGTCAAGTAAAGACAGACTGAGCTGACCGCCTGCTGCTGCTAGGCTGAGTCTTTGCCAGTGGATGAGAGTGAAGTGAGGGCAGAGAGGATGTCCACACAATGAACATTCACTTTGAAAGAACCGTAACCACCCAGAGAGCAACTCTGGGTGTCAGCAAACCCTCATCTGCCTGTCACACTCCTGTCTGGGGTGTTTATTGTACAGAAGAGTTTTGTTTGTACAGAAGATCTGATATAACAACATCACATGGATCTGGTCTTTGTCACTGGCTCTGGGCACAGAGCTCGAAAAACCCATGGAATTTCCTGACTGGCAGCAGTGTCTTCCAGCTCCAAAGCCTCATGTGGGGATTCTTATGGAACAGAATGACCCTTCACAACTGCAACTGCCACTGTGACAGTCTTGGGAGGTAGGACTTTAAGAGGTGTTGGGATTGCAGGGGCTCTGCTCTGTGACTGTATCAATGCCACTGTTGTGGGAATGCCTTTGACCCTGCAGAAGTAGCTTTGTTACAAAAGCTCTCCATGGCTGGGGATTTAGCTCAGTGGTTCTGGCTTTGCAAGTGCAAGGGCCCGAGTTCAATAATAAAATAAAATAAAAAAAGAATAAAAGCTCTCCAGCTCCCTCTTTCAACATGTAATGCCTCCAACATGCTATGAAATAGCAAGACCTTTCCATTCTGGAATCGCCCGCTTCCAGAACTGTGAGCAATAAACCTCTTTTCTTTATAAGTTACCCAGTCTCAGGTATTGTGTCATGGCTGCAGAAAATGGACTCACAAAGAGGGTATATCAAGTTGATGCTAAGGATGTGACTCCCATGGTGGTGGTGGGGATGAAGCTCAATAGCTTTAGGATGAGGGGTGATAGATAGAAATGGGGAGCCACAGGATTTGAAGGGTCTGTATGGGGGCAGGTAGTCAGTATCTGAGATGAAGTGAATTTTTGGACATCTACTTGGAGTCAGAGAACGGGTGCTAGAACCTAGGTATATAAATTTATATTGGGTTTATGTTTGTGTAAGAGTTGCAGGCATAAAGATTCTATATACAGGTTTAGGTTTCCCCTACTTAATCAACATTATAAAAACACCTCAAGTGAAAGCTTTGAGGTGCTTTTTCTTTAGAATCAGTATGTGCATCACTGGGCTTTGAGGATCACTGAGAATAAAGTCACACTCTGCTGTGGCTACAGAGCTAACAACACTTACAGTCCTTAGTCCAGGTACTCTTTGGGCAGGTCACTGAATCCACAAATACATGTATCATTTAAAAGTCCTTTCCATATAAATCTGACCTTATTTTCACTTAGTCAATCAGAATATAAAAGAGATTTCCCTTGGTGTGGGGAAACTCAGAAGGGCTTCTTTGAGGGAGATTTTCCTTTTTGGTTAAAACACGGGGGATCCAGTTACCTCCTCAGATAATAATGGGCAGAGAGAGCCCTAAGCTTGCTGGTTCTTCTTGTACACTTCTGCATATGGAAGAAAGTTTTGGGTCACACTGTGTCACTGTTCTGGTGTCATTGCAGGAGTTGGGCTTCATGCCTTCATTAAGGACTGTCTTACCAACACTACCACGTTCCTTTTCCTCCTGCAGCTAGGACCGCAGCTCCTGCCAGGCAGACCAGACCTCAAAACAACAACACTCAACCTCAGATTCCAAAATCCTTCATCTTCCAATGCCTCTACATGCAGAAGCTTCAAACAACTTTGCATCTTCCAGAGATTGGCTTGAACTGCGGCCAACCCAAAGGCACACAGCATAGCATTTAATCCTGGTTCCCCAAAATAAAAGTGTTACAATAGCAAAAGGCATCTTGACTTCAAACTGTTTTCTTTTCTTTTTTTATTTTTATTTTATTTTATTTTATTTTTGAGGCAGGGTCTCACTGTATAGTTGAGACTGACCTGGAGCTCACTATGCAGCACAGGCTGGTCTCAAACTCACAGCAATCCTCCTGCATCAGCCTCCTGAGTCAAATTGTTTTCTTTTAATAGGTTTTTGTATCAGTAAAAATATGAATTTTCAAAAATTAACATACCTGATTCTTGGGGAAGCTGAAGGAGGACACATTTTAAGGGAGGTTTTATTACTATTCTTGAGTTTCTTGGCTCAAAATAAACAGATACACAGTAGTTTGTGTTTGGAATTAAATTGTTAATGACATAGCTGAAATTTCCACTGAAGCTTCCACTTATTTTGGGTTCATGCTGAAAAAAGAAAAAAAAAAAGTAAGATTATAGTGAGAGTATCATCTAGAGACAGACCATAAGAAATTTTTGGGGGTTCGGTCCTCTAATCCTAAACAAGGTTAGCAATATCACAGCCTTGACAAGAAAAAGGATTTATAAATTGCTTGGGCCCAGCAGCTATCACAAAACCACATGTATTTATACACAGGTACATGCACCTATCTTAAAACCATGAAATGTAGTCTAGCAAATTCATTTTGTATATGACGAAGTCTTACGAAGAACAAAGGTCTCTGTGACGTCATTTTTACAAAATTATTTTATCTCATTGACAACGTGGATCTAGCTTACTCTATAAAGGGCTTTCTTGTACACTGACTCCTCTAATTTTCAAAATCATTGCTCCAGTTTAGATCTAAAATGTCTCAAAAAGTCGTGTGTGTTCAGAGATGATGGGCTTTGGGGAAGAGATGGAGTTATGCTGGCTCTAACTGCACTGAGTGGAACAGCCCACTGATGAATTCACTACCTGAATGAGTTTATTAGGAGCTAGCGTCTAACAGAATGGAGCAGGGCAAAAGACACATTTCGTCTCTAGCACCTTCCTCTTGGGCTGCTGCTCACTCTGCTTCCTGGCTGTCATGGGATGGGCATCTTTCCTCTGCCACAACCTTCTGCCCTGATGATCCTGCCTCACCACAGGCCTAAAGTAATGGGGCAGCTGACCATGGACTGAAACCGGAAGTCCAAACCAACCTCTCCTCCCTCTTGCTGTTTTGCTCAGGTATTCCGTCACAGCAATGCAAAGCTGACTAACACAGCCACCCAGGCATTATCTCTGTTCTACAAATGAGAAAACTGCAGGTCAAAGTGGCCATGGGACTTGTCCTAAATCACAAAGGGCCTTACGAAAGAGGCTGATGTTTAAGACATCTTGTTTCTCCTTCCCCTATAGTTCTGTTACATTTGAAGATTTACGAAGAGAAAGCTGGGCCAATGGCAGAGGCCTGTAATCTCAACATTTAGGGAGGCTGAGGCAGGAGAATCACAAGATCGAGTTCTGCCTGAGCAATTTAGCAAGATCATGTCTCAAAATACAAAGCAAAAAAGATTTGGGATGTAATTCAGCGGTGGAGTACCCTTTTGTTAAATTTTGAATAACAACTTTTACTAGCAACTTCATATATTAAGATTTCTAGCAGTTCAGTTACAGCCTTTGGTAATCCTGTGTTGTTGCAAGTCTCTGTCTGGAAGGAGGGAGGGTTATTAAACAAACAGATTCACAAGCAACAAACTAAAAGATCATGCATGGAAATGAGTAAAGAAAGGAGAAGGGGCTGGGCTGGCCACTGCCCCGCAGGAAGGCTCTCAGCTCGGGCAGAGGAGCACCATGTGGCTAAGGTTTGGGCTCCTCGGGACTTTTAGTGAGTCTGTAAGGCTGACTTCCTGTGTCACGGCACAGACAGAAGCTCCACCCCGCGTTCCCCTCTGCTGTGTGGCAGATAATGATTTGACAGCATCACTCAAGAGTTCATGGGCTGAAGTTTAATCAGTAGTGCATGGTACAAGGGGACCGCAACTTGATTGCCTTAGGTGGGGCCTCTGAAAGTTGATTAGGACTAGATAAGGTATTCACAGTGCAGCCATGACTGAATCCTGGTGGCTTTCGAAGAAGAGAGAGAAAGAGACCAGAAGAGACACACGTGACCCCTGGCTCTCACCATGGGATACTGTGGGCCATGTGGAGACTGACAGCAAGGAAGCCATTACCAGACGCAATCCCTGGACCTTGGGCCTACAGAACCATGAGCTAAAATAAAACTTTTTCCAAAAAACTATGCAGTCTCAGCTATTTTGTTATAGTAACAGAAAACAGTCTAACACATGCTTTCCCCAACCACCACCTCCCTGGATTGAAACCAGGGCTTATGCAATGAGGTACATTCCTGGCCCTTTATTTTTTGAGACAAGGACTCATGAAGTCACTAAATTTCCCAGGCTGGGTTTGAACTTGAAATCTTTCTGCCTCATTCTCCCAGAGTGCTGGGATTACAGCTATGTACCACCACGTCTAGCCAAGTCATACTTCTTTAGGTATCTGTGCTGCATATCCTACACCCTGCCGCATACCTGGGAATGTAGTCCCTGCTCCCAGTCTAGACCCTTTTTCAGGGGCTCTCAAGATCCCACCTACTTTCAGCCACTCCAGGATACACTCCAAAGAACCCTGTTGGAGCATTTCCTCTGCAGGTGAATATGCTTTAATTTCTGCCATAAAAAGTCCCTCTGTGACCCCATCTTCCTCTCCAGCTACCACTGTTCACCCTTCCTTCCCCTAATAGAAAAGCTTAGAAAAGATAAGCTCTCCTATTCTTCTCCTTCCTCTCTTGAATCCACTCCAACAAGACCTCTGTCACATCACTCACCAAAGCTACTTGTCTCAAGGGCCTGGGCTCAGGGTATTCCACACACACACACACACACACACACACACACACACACACACACGAAGCTGGTAGCTCCCAGGACACGCCCTTGGCTGGGAGATCTCCCTTGAATTCCACACTTGGGGCAGCAGTTCCTGTCCAAAATCTCCTCCTAGAAGCCTGACGGATACCTCAGATTTAGCACGTCCCAAACTGCCATCCAACCCTCACGCACCAGCTTCTTCCGTACTCTTCCCCATTTTGATCCATGGAAACTCCAAAGTGTTGGAGGCCCACCTTCTCTCTTTCTCTACCATACTTTGTGCCCAATCTACCTAAAAATACTGTTTTCCCACCATTATTTTATTAAATACGTGGAGAATTTAGTTGCCTTTCATCACCCCATCACCACAGAGGGGTCTAAGCTACATCCATCTGTTGCCTGGAATGTACCAGTAGCTTCCTTTATTTTCTTCGTTTAATTAAAAGACCCCTTTTCTTCAACACAGAAGTCTACTAACTATAGTTTTTCTAATGAACACGTCTCATTTCAGAAATAATAATCTAAAACACACTGAGTAGCTAATGCTCTGAATAAGAGACATGGTTAAAATTTAGCAGTTAATGACACCCAACAGAGTCCCTGAGTCCTGTTAACTTGTTTCACTCTTGTTATTTTTGTTTCCTCTTCCTAGGCTGCTGGTCATAACTCAAGGGGAGAATTTCACAAGAGAAAAGGATACCAATTACACAAGTTGTCACCACCTATCGAGTTATTACCATCCCAACCCTGTCTTCACTGGTTCCACTTTCTGAGTCTGTACATTATGGCCTGTCCTGCACATACCAGCCAGGCTACTGTATTGAGCCTCAGTCCTCCAGTGGCTTCTGCCCCACTAGACTCACGGAGTCCTCCAAGGTCTGGCCTGCTGTCCCTTCTCATCTCACTCCTCCTCTTCTCCCCACTTGATCGCGCCACTCCAGCCACCTCTGCTGTTCCTCAGACCCACTGGCTCCCCTCGAACCCTGGGGCCTTGGAACTTCCTGTGCTCTCTGACACGCCCCCCCAGCTGTGCTATCTTGCAGGCTCGTTTTATTTGCACAGATTTTATTATTGGCAAGAGGGTTGGCAGACAAAATGCTACTGCTGAAGGGCCCAGTGGTGTGTGCATTTGGTCCATGCATGGAGCCAACGAGTCTGGATGTATCTACTATCAGGGTCACCTGGAAGTTATGGAAACTGGGTTGGAAGTTAAGGAAACTGGGTCCTTACAGGAAATCAGAAAAGGACAAAACTGCAGGGAAACACTGATTTTTAAATTTTATTTATTTATTTATTGAATTTTTTTTTGCTGTGTCAGAGCCAAATAGACAGTTTTTTTGAGACAGGGTCTCACTATGTAGTTGAGACTGACCTGGAACTCACTATGTAGCCCAGGATGGTCTCAAACTCACAGCGATCCTCCTGCCTCAGTCTACCCAGTGCTGGGATTATAGGCGTGTGCCACCACGCCCAGCTCAAGTAGACAGGTTTTCTTGTGTGGTTTAGGTAAATCACCCTTTCAAAGAAACCTCACCATGGTGTGCTGGGCTCTGGCTGCTCTCTCTGTTGATATCACTCTCCTGTCTACACCACACAGTTCTCACTCTCCCTTCCATATCCCTTGGTATTGTGCCAGCAACCTATTCCCTTAAAGATGGAGCTGCTGGGCTCATTCAACATATTTCTGCAGAGAAGGAACCACAGGGACTTCTTGCCTAAAGTCAGACAACTCTGGTGGCCAGAACTTTTCATGTGAATTGTTCAACTACATAGATCATAGATTCCTCTCTCTGTCTCTCTCTTTCTTTCTTTCCTTTCTTTCCCTTCCTTCCTTCCTTCCTCCCTCCCTCCCTCCCTTCTTTTTTGTAAGAGAGTCAAATGTCTCCGTGGCCAACTGAACACTCTCGATCCCTCAGTAGAGACCACTTACCCTCTTATCAATGTCCTCTGAGTGTTCCTCGATGATGAGTGACGCGTGACGGTGTAGCTCTTCCCCATATATCTTGGGGGCCACAGGTGGAAACTGCACTGACACGTTAATGTGGTCTGCATAGCCAACGATCCTGAAGTCTGGTGGCTGAAAAGACACTGTTTAGGAAACAAAAGCAGAAAGGAGCCCTACGTCAGTCAGTGGTTACATAACAGTGCTTCCTGTGGTCAGGATCTGATCTTATTTCTTTTAAAGAAAAAAAAAAGTTTTTATTCTGCCTATGATCTTAGCTCTAGTCTGTTATTTTTACAGTAGTCCTGAAGAGCTGAGATTAAAAAAGTGAACCATTTGCTTCACATTACTACAGCAAATTGACAGATTTGGGGCTGGAAGTCAGCAACTTTGAATTTTCAGGCTGTACACTAGACACAAAATTAAAAATAACTTAATTTCATAGTGTGTTAATAATATGTAATAATAGAAACTCACTGTCAAAAATACATTTAGCAGTTGTCTTTGTAGTTCATTGTCCTTTATTTTTACTATATGGACCTAATACCTAAAATTCATACACAGTTACTGAAATAGGATATCTATTTGTAAATACATGTACATGTAACATGTGTATACCCCTATACACACATGCTTATAAACTAAATTTAAATCATTCTAGCCCATATGGTGTTACATGACATATAATTTCATTTAACTATAATTCAAAAACATTTTAATACATAGTTATGCATATCAAGAACTAGCAAATAATGGGCCATGAGTTGACCTTTTGCACAACCTGCATGCTCAAAAATGGTTTCTCTCTTTTTTTTTTAAGGATTACAAAAAAAAGAGAGAAAAAGCAAAATAATCCAAAACCCCAAAACAGCATGGGACAGACATCAGATGTCGCGCATAGTCTCAAGTGTTTTTCCTCTGGCTCTTCACAGGAAGGACTTTACCAAGTCCTACTTTACACTGTATTTTTTCATGGTTAATTTACTTCCCCTAAGCGGCTGACCTGTGACTTAATGAGTCCCTATTTTTAACATTGAGATGGTCTCTAATTTTTCTGAACGGAATTTATGCATTATCACGTATTTGTGGTGCTAAGTCTTGGCATCTGTCCTTGACAATTTCCTTAGGACAGGTTAATGAATGGGTATTCTGGACTGGGACTGGAGTGAGCAAAAGTTAAAGGTCTTAGTACGCACTGCCTAACACCTTCAGAGGGACGATACCAAAGGTTACTCTATATTCGTGCCAATCCTGAGTCTCTTTGTATTTTTCACCTTTATCATTCGAATCATGAAAAAGGCCTCACATAACTCTTCAACAACCTAAACACTATGCCTTGCACGATGTGTTTTCCTTCCCACCTGTGTACAAACACACAGCTATGACGCTGTGTCCTAAACACACACCACTGACTGATTTGCCACAGTGGGATCCAGCCGTCACATCACCGGTCCTCGACAACGCATGGAGGTGCAGGGCATCGCCCCACCCGCCCACCCGGTTTGTAATCAAGCACTGCAGCAGAATTGGGGTTTTCGGTTTATTTCTGCAACAGGCTAGAAAATGGGAAATTGAGAAGGCAAAGGACCCTGGGAGTGGCTCCAGGCACAGGGAAAGGAGAAAAGGAGCAGGTGGGCTCCAGACTCTGTCCGCAAGCTCCGGGCCGCCATTGTGCAGCCTGGGTGCTCAAGAGTTAGGAGCCAGTGGGAGTGGCAGGGTTACAGCCTGGGGTGGGGTTGCGGGAGAAAGGCAAACACTGGCCCAGAGTGAAGTGACAGCCGAGATCCAGGCCACCTGGGTTCCGCTCCCCACTTCCTGTTAGGCTATAAAGTGTTGAGAAGGGCAAGTACTACTGCCTGAGCGCCTGCTCTATGTCTATGCAGGTATGGGGCAATGATCTGCGCTTGTCCCCTCCCCTCCCCTCCCCACCCCTTCCTTCCTTCCTTCCTTCCTTCCTTCCTTCCTTCCTTCCTTCCTTCCTTCCGAGAAAGGGTTTTGCTATATATTCCAGCCTAGTCTTGAACTCACTATGTAGTCCAGTGATCCTCCTATCTCAGGATCCACTAGGCCCTACATAGGTATGGAGCGATAGTCTGTGAAAAACACAGTATGGCCCCACTGTTCAGATAGGAAAGCTAAAAAGAGATCAGCAAAGTAACTCACCCCAGTGAGAATGTCAGGAAGTGGTGGGGCCAGCTATGCCTACGGTGCTAATTCTGAAACAACTCTGCAGGCTTTCCTACTCATGACAGAGCAAATGATCTTTTTTTCTCATGTCTCGATATTTCATTCATTTTTATTAGTACTTGATGTATACAGTTCATAATGATTAGAATTATTATAGGGAGTTGGTCTATCTATCTATCTATCTATACACATGTTAATTTTTTACTTGTTTTTTTTTTTTTTTTTTTTTTGGTACCGGGGATCGAGCTCGGGTCCTTGCACTTGCAAGGCAGGCCACCGACCGCTGAGCTAAATCCCCGGACCGCTTTTGGTCATTTTTTTCATCCCCTACCCTTCTTGTCCCTTCTTGCTCCTTCCAACTCTTGATCCCCTTCCCATTTGCAAAAGCTCAATTTTCATCATTTTTTTCCCTTCAGCCTTTTATTCCTTCCCATTCCAGCCCCTCCTCCATCTCTTACTGCTCCATCCATTAGAAACAGATCTCTCTACTTCCAACTTTTCTTCTATTTTACACACACACATTCTTTCTCTCTCAGTCTGTGTGTGTTTGTGTATATATACTTTTATATATAAATATATTTTAGTTTATCATATAAGAAAAACCATGTGATATTTAAGCTTTTATGTCTAACTTATTTCACTTAATATTACGCTCTCAAATTACATCCGTTTACCTACAGATGCTTCAAGTTTATCTTTATTTTGGCGGGATAGGACTTTGTTGTGTAGAGATCCACACTTTCTTTATGCATTCACTCTTGATGGGTGTATAGGCCATTTCCAAGACTTAGCTACTATAAACATGGGTGTGGGGGCAGGCTGTCTCTAACTCTCTGGGGAAGATACTGATGATGATCCTGAGGAGGACTGCAAAGTCAAGAAACAGCGATCCACTCACAGTCCAAGTTCGTGATAGCAGCCAGGCACAGGACCAACAGCGTTTCCCCTCTGAATCCTTTCACCATGGGGATGTAGGTCTCAGGCATGTCTTGCCACACATCTGTGAGGTCACAAAATGATCTGGTGATATTTGTACAGTTCTCCACAGTCTTCATACCTTCTCGCTTACTTTAGAAAAAAAAACGGAAAAGGGAAAAGTCAGCATTTATGGACTGAGAATCCGTTTCTGTGTCCACTTCCTTGTTTCCTTCCTCAGATATCACGGTATCAAACCGTCTTCCCTATCACCTTATTTAAAAGTAGAACACTTCATGTTCTCCCTAATCCCACCCTCTCAGTCCCTCGTACTCTTCATTTCTCTTCACAGCATTTACCTCAACCTGCCACTTTACACTTTTACTTTCTTAATGGGGTCTCCACCTACTTTTACAACTTCCATTTTCAGAGGGAAAGGACTTTGGTTCATGGACAGATCCCCTGGTCTACTGCAAGTCCTCAGTAAATATTTGCTGCATGAACAAATGAATGCACAAGCTTCGGGCTCTCACAGTAGAAGCCTGAGGTTTTCCCCCCTCTCTGTCAAGAACAATCACTGCTTTCCTTGAGACCCCTTCCTTCTCTGCCTGAAGGTCACACGGCCCAGTCCTCAGCCAGGCCTGTGCTAGTTAGGGACAATGCAAACATCTGATCTACCATGCTATGGAAGAGTGTGGAACTCACGACTGACTCTCCCTGGGCCTGCAGCAATAACTACAAGCCAAATAACCAACGAAAGGACATTCCACAGGGCTACTGACCAAAGAATGACTTATCATCTTATGGCATCACTAATCCTTGAGACAGCCCCTCAGGGGGGACATAGCTCAGAGAGGTTGAGCTCCAAGCCAAACGTGAAGCTGGTTAGTGACTACAGCAGACTTTGGACTCAGGTCTGTCTTCGACGAGGCCAGGCAGCTTTCTGGTGTCCAATGTGCCTCCATGAGTCAAGAAAAATGAATATAAACCATTGATGTGGTCCACAGACCTTTGGATCTTTGGGAAATACAAGACTTTTAAGCATTCAGATGGACTAAATTAGATAAATCACTGGGGAGACCACACTGTTATTTTTTGCTGGTGAGGCTCTGACTTGTAGAAATTAGCTTTAGTTATAAATACCAAATAGTTTTAGATTATTAAAGTATTCAATTTAATTGAAAATGAATGGGTATTTTGCCTTTGGCATTTTAAGGTTCTGCATAAGAAATGAAGAGAAAGAGAACAAAGAAAGACAATACCTTTAGCAAGAGAAAAATGGAGTGTAAACCAACCTCATGATTGTGTACCCAAATGTATAGTAAGTTGGTACAACGGAGCGGTTTTTCAACTCCCAAGATAAGATCAGCCGGTATTTTCTAAATGTCATCTTGAAATTACACTTTTCAGCTGCAGATTCTAAAGAGAACAGGATTTGGGGAGGAAAAACATTGAAATCTGGAACCCAAAGACCTCGAACCCCACTCTTCTGACAGGGAAGGCCTCAGGATCGCCCCGGGGTCTGAGAAACACAGGGAGTCTCCCAGACATGGGAAGGAAACTAGTACTAGTCGTCGATAGGCGACATGTTATCGGGGCAGGAGTTTAGGAAACAGGAACTCAGCGCCTGGTAAACAGAATGTGGACACGGGACTCCCTGCCCCTCCTGAGCTCCCTGGAGCCAAAGGACCCAGTACTTCGGGCCCGCACGGCTCAGGGCCCGCTCCTTCTCCACGCCATTCTCTCAGTCCAGCTCAGCCCGCTGCAGGCTGTCCTTCCCACACTCAGCCTAGTGTACAATATTATGCACTGGGAGGTGGTAGTGACAAATTAGATTTTCAAAGCTCATCTAACTTTCCTGTGGTTAAGACCCAGGCCTTTGCTTTTGATCTTCATGCCCCACTGTCTATTAGAAGGCAAAGCACATACTCAATGCTTATGAAGTTTTGTGGGCGGATTACATATGTGGGCAAGGAGTTTAATTAAAACTTATTTTTCCTGGGGCTGGGGATTTAGCTCAGTGGTTCTACCACCTACTTTGCAAGGGCAAGGTCCCCAGTTCGATCCCCAGTTCCAAACATAACAAAGCAAAAAACTTATTTTTCCTTATCTGGAACCAACATGTGGAAAAATATAGAGAAAAATTATTTCTGAATCACTTTTTGTTTGGCCTAATAGGTATCTCCCTATTTTCTGTTAGTGAGACTATTAAGAACTTGAATATTCTTTCATGGGATTTAAAAATGATCTCCAGTGTTAAATTCTTATAATAGTTTTGTGAGACAATTATGAAAACCAGGGCCAGGGGTTTAGCTCAGTGGTGCTGCCACCTGCCTCGCAAATGCATGGACCTGAGTTTGATCCCCGGTACCAAAAAACAAACAACAAACAAACAAAAAAACAGAGCTAGCTAATTTTAGCTCCTTCTATAGAAAAAGGACTCCAATAAAATAATAGATGTGAGGCCAGAAATAAAAATTTCCATGTTTTATGTTTGTCAATCACCCCAATACTTTGAATCTTATTCAAAATTGAACCAAGCCAAGAACATCTCTTACCAGGGGTATTATGTGAGGTGTTCAATGCTAGGCTCACATACACTAGGAGGAAAAAAAAAAACAAGTTAGAGAAACAACAGTGACTTATTTGAGCTCCATTTAAAATGACCAGACTCACTTTGCATTTATTAGTGCATTAATCATTACATGCATTAATATTGCATTGAGATTTTCTTGTGCTAACAAAAAAAGTGCAAGCAAACAGTTCTTAGGTGACATCAGTACCATCAGCACCTGGTCCAAGGATTGTATCCAGAGTGGACCCAAAGTAAGATCCAATTAGGAGCTGTTGATAAGAAGCAGGGTTGGGTTGGTGGAGGGAATGTCCTGAGAAGCAGGTATCTATCTGAAAAGATTCCTCAGACTATAAATAAGCATGTTGCTGATTAATAACTGTTCGAGGTAAAGACATTGACCCAGGGTGATGGAGGAAAAAAGGGTGTTCATGATGGGACTGGTGAGTCTCATCTCCGGGGGACAGTGTGGGTGGATGGGTGGGGACATTTGTCTTCTGGATGTCACATTGACTTTGGGGGGACGTGAAGTTCCTGACATTTTTATAAGGTGGATAATGTCCCAGGATGCTGGACATGATCCAGTGCATGGATGGTCTGCCCGAGAGAGCTGCCCCACTCGTGGGTCCTCTGCTGATCAACTGTGTAAGAGACGACACTGATATTGAAACTGAATCTTCTGGAAGGTAGAGAAAAGACACAAATGAAGAATACTGCAGAAAAAAGATGGATAATTCATGAAATCCCGAAATCTAGCAATAGGGTGATATACTCCACTGCGTATCAGTGAGAGTACTAAGAGACATTACTCTTTAAATTAACATACAAGGGTCCAGGGATGTAGCTCAGTGGTTCTGCTGCCTGCTTTGCAAGTATAAGATCCTGAGTTCGATCCCCAGTACAAAAAAATATTAACATACAAGTATAGTCTCCAACATTATAGAGCTTCAGTCTATTTTTGCTTATCTGTTTGAACAACAGGAAGAAAACCATACTCAACTGAAATTCCCAGCTACTTTCCCTTGCACACCTGACACTGGGTGGGCTGCTCTGGGTCCCCCGACAGGGACATCAGTTTGCTGCTTCATTCTAGAGCTCTGGCTAATGATGACTTGGGTTTGCTCCTGTAAGCCCTGAGGTGGACAGTTACACCTACCCATGAGGCACAGGGAAAGCAATCCGAGGGCTGGGGCCTGGTGACTCAGAAGCATCTTTGTTAGTTGGTTAAGTCCTTTCCTTCCTTTTACACCTGAAAGGAAATCAGTATTAGGATATCAAAATTCTAACACTTCTAATTAGATTGTAAAATAAAAGTAGGGCACCAAAAGAACCCAGGAGAAACAGTCAAATTTCCTGGTTGCAGCCTGCCCCACCCTCCCAGGAGCCGGGCACCCCTTGCCCATGTGCAGGTCTGAGTGTGGAGAATTTCCAGGTGTAGGACGGCTGCACACTGTGGTTTCAAGGTGTCCCCTCGGCGATCAAGCGTCAGAAACAGTCCCCAGTCCCAGAGTGGGGAGAGCTGGGGCTTTAAGCAGTGATGAAGTCATCATCAGAGCTCTGCCTTGTAAATGGGTTAAGAAGGACACGGAGGAGGTAGGCTCGTTACTGAGAGGTGTTTGTTACAGAAGCAACTTCGGTCCTTTCTTGCTGTTTTGCCATGTAAAGTCCTCTGCTACGCTGCAATGCAACAAGAAGGTCCTCTCTAGATATGGTCCCCAACTGTGGGCTTGCCAGCCTCCAAACCCCCAAGCCAAATAAGTATCTGTTCGTTATAAACAATGACCTTAACTGTGGTACTGTTACTGCAGCATAAAATAGACTGACATGAGCAAGGAGCCTATCGGCCACGGTGCCAGCAGAAAACTGCACATTCAAGTTAGAATATTTTGAGAAAAACTGTTTATCAAGGGGCCATTTATAAACGTGGGAGCAAGCTGCAGGCACAGCATAAGGGAGCATGCAGTACCTCCAGCTAACAACAGGGGGAGCCATCGCCAACCTGGGCTTGAAGGGCAAAAGAGAAGACACCAAAGTTGGAACTTGGAAGGAGGAATCCTGTGTGAAGACTAAGGACAAAGGGCAAATGACACCACCAACCCAAGGTGCCTGTGCAGGGAGAGACTGCTAAATAAATATCCCTCACCGTTTCCCCTCCCTCTAACTTGGGCCTCCCCATGTGCTAAACCCAACTGGAAGCCACACGCCAAAGGGGCTGCGGCTGTGTCCCTGCCCAGGGCAAAGTAAAGAGTGGGTGAGTGTGCAGGGGCGGGCAAAGGGGCCTGGCAATCGGGCTAAGCGCTTGTAGTTCTGATAGAGATGGCCACACTGCCAGCCCTGCAGCAGGTACCAGGGTCCTTACACAAGTATCCACAACAGGTGAGCACTTTTGGTTCTCCACAGCCTCTTCGTACGGATATCTCGGGTTTTCACCAAATTTATAAATGAAAAGTTATCTTCACACCAATATTTATTTGTAGTTCTCTTATTCTGAAGGAGAGAAGCATCTTTCCTAGATTTATGGGCTACTTATATTTCTTTCCTGTTGGGCCGGGCTGGGGATTCAGCTCAGTTTTTCCGCTGCCTGCCTTGCAAGCACAAGGTCCTGAGTTCAATCTCAGGTAACACCCCTCCCACCCCCGCCCACATTTCTTTTCTTTCCCGTTAAAAGCCTGTTCCAGGCCAGGGGTTTAGCTCAGTGGTGGTGGTACCTGCCTTGCAAGCACAAGATCTTGAGTTTGACCCGTTCCAAAAAAAAAAAAAAAGAAAGAAAAGCCTGTTCCTCCCTTTGCCATTTTTGTACAGAGCTGTGCTGTTTCTTACTGGTTTGCAGGAGCTGTGTGTGTGTGAGGGAATCTAGCCCTTTGTGATACGAATCACATTTTTCTTCTTGTCTTTCTGTCATTTGCCCTTAGATTTGCTTGTGCTTTTTAAAAAAAAAACTATTCAGAAATTTCTGGGTTTCATGTTTTCAGATTGAAAGATACAATTGGTCATCGGTTTCTGTGGATTTTGCATCAGCCGATTCAGTGAAGTGTGGGTCAAAACTGTTAGAGAAACTTGCATCTGTACTGAACATGTACAGACCTTTCCATCCTTGACGTTCCATGGTATTTGGAGTTCTGTGCAGTCCAGAGCTGCTTTAGATTCCACAGCACGGTGTGTGTCTGTCACATGCAGACACCGTGCTCTCTGTGTAAGGGACTTGAGCAACTGTGGGGCCCTGTACCCACAAGAGCAGGGTGGGTTGGGCGAGAAACTCCAAAGATACTGGAGGGTGACTGTGTATTATTTGTCAACTTCTGGTTTTCAGTCTTAGAAAGGTATCCCAATTCCAATGTCAGATAGGGATTATTTTTTTGGTACTTGGGATTGAATCTAGGATCTTTATATGGAGCACCATCTCCAGCCCATTTTATTTTAAGACAGTGTCTTGCCATGTTACTGAGTCTGGCTTCAAACTTGTGATCCTCCTGCCTCAGCCTCCTGAGTAGCTGGAATTACAGGTGTACACCAATATGCCCAGCTGAGATAGAGGAGGCTAGAAGAATTTTAGGCCGGGCATGGTAGTGTACACCTGTAATTCCAGCATTCAGGAGGCTGAGGCA